ACTCACCCATGATGGCTATTTTGCATATGATGCTTAGAAGTTCTACCATCTTTATAATGACGTCGCAGCTGAATTTAATGCATTTAAATATAAAATCTTAGTGCCTCGAAGAGCAAGCAATGATACTGCGAATCTGTCAGCGATCATGGGGCTCAAAATGGAAAACATCAGAGCATACCCGAGGGATGGTCCTGCGTATAAAAGTAATTCCCACAAAATATACAATAGTCAAGTAGCGGAGAGTAAAGTATAACACAGCAGATAACTGCATTTTCTTCTCCCATACAAGATTGGCTTCTCGTGACAGGGAAATTAACCAATCGTACACCACGAAGGCTTGAGATTCAATTAGGTCAGATGGACTCTTTCTTGTGCATGAAAAAGAAAAGACTTTTCTCACTTAACAGCGCGAAATGGACAGAATTCCTAATACAACTAGTTTAATCACCACATGGAAGTAAATTTTATGGTTTACAGACTCGCCTCCTTGTGTCATGTTCAGTTGATATCATGGCGAAAGGAAGGGAACCATTTGACATAAGGCGAACTAGGGTATAATCAGACGAGCTAACTTCAGAGTATAAGAAATTCTGACCCACCTTGAAACAGTGCCATGTCTTATAAATCATCCTGCCGCAGCAGTACTGCTCCTCACGCGGCTGTGTAGGCGCCGTCATTACGCGTACTTGAGAGCTCCAACTTCGGATATATACATATCCGTTTAATATCAATTCACAAGACGCCATCATGTTGACATACTAATATCACATTTGCAAATACTCTCAATTTAAATGTCAGATATCATAAACGATGTCAACCCTTATCTAGCCCTAAGTACTACTTATATATTTTTACAACCCGATATATGAGATCCAGAGGGGATATATATGGATCGTGAGACATGTGGCTAAAAGGATCAAATAGAGATTTTTATTTTTTGCCAGTAACATCTGACAATCATTTCATAACGAGTCATAGCGCAGTTCAGAATTCGCGAAAGATCAAAGATCAAACTACTTAATTGAGTAATCATTCCCAATATTCAATATTTTGTCAGCGTTTCAACTGAGCATCCTATGTTTCCGGTGTTGGTCGTATTATCATGTGCCAGCTAACGCATTCCAATCACCACTCGGGTGTGCGTGCCGTAAATGGGTTTCCAAAACAGTTTATTCTTGATTTATGCTGCTTGCTCTACTTTAAAAGAATCATTTCATCGAACAAGGAGTAAGATGGATTCTTCCTTCATGGAGAAGCAATGAGATTGAAAATCTAAATCAAAGGATCTATGACTGTATGTGAATGAGGGAATTAAACATATGCCCCCACAATTAGTACTTATTTTAAAACTTTTTGATGCGCGTGGTTTAACCTCGGAGCTTCGGGAAACAGAGACAGCAATTCTTGACCCTCAAAGCTGGTGCGTTCATTAGCGCGTAACTTTTTATTTATGAACCTTGTTGACTTGGTCTAGTATCGGTTGGAGCTCTCTTCCTTTCCCGGTCAACAAGTTCTCCTCATCTGTGACCCCATCTCGGAATTGTTACCTCATCCCCCTAGCTCATAGTCCTTCCTACTGCCTTCCTCGTCTCTTTGTGTGGTCTTCAGCACTGACTAACTCTCGACTGCCACAACTTTGTCTGGCCTCCACCTTCCACGAACGTTATACAGTATGTTCGCCAATGTGGTGTTTAAGGTTGTCATCATTGACCCATGAGTACGTTTGCAGGCCTGCTTGAAAAAAAAAGACCGACTTGTTAGATTAAGTAATGCTAGCAGTGTTTTCCAGGGTCAGGTGTAATGGTCAACACCCCTGCTATATATGCAGAAGCCCTGGGTTCAATCCCCAGTCTGGCCATTTATTTTCTACACTTTTAACATGACTTATGTCTTTTGTCCAATTAATTCAAAAAAACATGTAAAAAAGTATACAATTGTAAATAATTAATGAATGAAATTAGAATATTTCAAAATAAGTTAGATCACATGCCATGATAAATACCTAGAACTTCCAATGTATGGCAAAGCAATGGGACATCTTTCTTTCTTCTTTTTGTGTGTGGAGGGCCAGGTGTGCTGAATATTGCAAAATTGTATGAATTGGCTTAATGTAAATGCACAAACTAAAAGGGTTTAATAAGCTTGTAATGAAGTACTTGGATCAGTCAATGTGTCGGTCAGTGAATTACCTTCTGACCATGATAGCTTTGGTGATAGTTTAGGTGTACACAGGTTAAATCATGCATCAGCCTCACTGAGTATGGTCCACAATATGTATTTTCAAATGTTTGGTAGAAGGAGAAAGGTGAACTGCCCCGAGAGAGGTGGGTGTTTCATCACCATTTCCAACACTGAATAATGCACTTATTACGGCAATACTCTCAATGGTCTGAACAGTGTGGCTTAGTGGTTCTCAACAGACTCTGAGAGATAACTTAAAGTAAATGTTCACAATAGTCGTCACTTGTTTACAGCTTTACAGAATGATGCCTGTTCCTGGTGTCATCTGTCTTGAGAGTAGGCAGGAGACGGGATAGGACGTTTCAAAGAATAACCGTTCGCCATTGATATGCAGTAAATCGGGGAGTGCAGTTGGTGAATGGAATACTCATAACGAGACACGTCAGAGGCAAATGTATGGAAGTAAGTATAAGTATGTATGGGACATCAGTAAAATGGTTTTATGCTCCAGACGCTCCAAGCGTCTAGGAGCATTCTAGAACGGAGGATCTCGTCCGGCAGCTGCAGGGATCAAAAACAAGTTTACTGATGGATCTCACTGTCCACATTTACGGCTGCGTATCATGTATTGGGAATGCAGTATTACGAAGCATGTCACAAAAAGCGTATTGTTGGGATCATTTGAGATCTAGTTCGTCCAGCTGTCCTTTGAACTGATTTTCCACGACGCTGCGTGGAATGTTTCCCTTGCCCTTGAGATATCATTTAGATAATCTACAACTGACAAATCATAGAACGCACAGTTCGTGGTAGTGTTCCAGTTTCCACGACAATAATGTGAGTAGACTTGATGCGCTCGTACCGATAGAGCCTTTCGTTGAAAGCTGCCAATCTGATAGCGACCTCTGCTTTGACTTTTGCTTCATCAAGGTCATGAGTGTTTGCTTCAATGATGAGAGTCGGAGAGAAACGACCGCCACTGACAACAACGCAATCTGTGATCAAATCGCTGCACTCCTGGTTTGTATATTCTTCTATCGCCCTAAGTAGTGACAATCAGGCAAGTTTTTCATAACCAGGCGCTATCCGTTTTAGGAAATATTGACGTACATTGTATCACAAACGCAACCGCACACTTCGAGGCGATCATCTAGTCGACTACGAAAGACGTAGCGTCCGGGGGAAAGCTCTATGAAAGCATCCTTCGTATGAAAATGACCATCTGCGGAACGAAAAGAGACATCGGGACAATCCGGTGATTCAGAAAGGACGACAAGCTCCAATAGCTTTTCGTCAGTCAGCGAAGGAGAGTTCCCGACATGAACAAAGCGGTAATGGAAACCCTCAAGACCTAGCGTTTTATATGCCACCGGTTTCTCACCTCGCACATTGTCTGATATTAAAAGCGGCCCCGTTTCGGTCAGTCCAAACTTCATCTAAGATGACAAGGCACGTCTGCTGAAGGTCTCAACACAACGGGACTAAAGGACACTTACAACAATGTGTATACCATTCGAATAAGCCCAGTCCAGCTCCTCCTTCGACATTGCTGCTCCACCAGAATTTATCTGAATCATTGATTGAAGAACAGACAGGAGCCGGGGATCATTACGGGCGTTTTTGAAGTGTTTCGCAAGTCGGTTAGAGAATATACTAGGCGTGGTCAGCCCGCATTGCTCTACCATTTGAATAAGGTCATTTGAGGAGAAGTCGAAGGGCACGAGAATCTGACACCCTCCGTTCAAAAACTGAGAAATCAATTCTGAATTAAAATATGTTAAGTATGACTGCAAATATTCAACGGAAAGAGAAAACATCTTACGACAAAGTTGGGCTAGATGACACATTGAACCAATTCTGGTCGTAACAGTGCGGAGCGGGCCAACAGAAGTCTGAGGGGTCATTTTCCTGACAAGGCCGTGTACCCATCTGTGACTGTAAGGGACTATTTTGGGGCGGCCAGAGGTAGAACCACTGGTATAATGAAACATCATTGTGTCATCCGCATGTCTGAAGTTGATGAGTGGCGGTAATATATCGGCATTTGGGACGTCCAGGAGGCACTTCACATCGACTGCACAATGTACAGGAACTGGAAATTGGGTAGGGGATATGTCACGCGATGAATCATTGATGAGAGCTGCTGCATTAGTCTCCACAAGCATTTCGGACACTAGGACTGGGCTTTCCAGCATTAAACGGATGAGTTGGGGGACATAGCCCGCCCTCGAAATACTGAAGATTGCAACAACATCAGAATAAGATATTCCATCTAACCTTTGTATTGGACAGTATTTTAATTAATGGAAACAACTCCATTATGGGAGTGATATAACATACCAAAGCGCGACAACCGAGTTGCGAGGGAGTCCAAGCTTCTCTATCCAGTGTGCTGCCATATTCTCCACATCGTTGTAGAATTGTTTGTAGGTCACATCATTCCATCCTTTAATGTCCCTACATCCGTCATATATCGGGATCTTGAAGGCGGTACACGAAGAGAATAAGGCTGCCGCCGACTCCAAGACGGTTATGTGAGATTGATAACTGGTTTTTGCCATGCTAGTGGCTGTGTTACAGTAGCAGACGTCGTAGGTTAGACAGCAGAATGCTGAGTTGTCTAACTGATGAGTAGGATGATACGTTGTCTAAAATTAGCAAATCAATTTAACACGTGCCTTGTTGATATGATTGCCTTGTTTGTACAGTTGGATATCATTGGTTGAGTGTTTAGACTCAGCTTTAGAGCAGTGTAGATGTGACTGTCTCTCACAGTTTCTGTGTATATAGAATGTTGACTTCACTACTGAGTATCTAAAGGGTTGGTAGCTCAGTGGTAGAACGACTGGTCTAGATTACAGATTGTCCCAGGTTCAATTCCTAGCTAGTCCAATATAAATTCTTTAAGAGCTCATGCCAAATTCTTTAACCACTTCATCCACAAAGCATACCCTGATGGCTGGGCCAAAAAAAAAGAGGTCATGGACAAATTAATTTATCCATGGTCTCTGATGGAGGGAGGCACATGGTTGTTAGATATATAGCAGGGAGTATACACATTGGTACATGGTGGATGTGAACAAAAAATGATGATATTACTAAGCAACTTTACAGTACTAAATGTGTAAAATATCAGCACAATCAATAGTGTCTGAAAGAGAAATTATAATCCAAAATCAACATATTCAACAATGATATATGTCTTTGACAATGCTCAGTCACTCTACCACTCCATTGTTCTCTTTGTTCCCTTGTCCCTTTGTCTATCACCCATTGTTCTATTTCCTATATATACTGTATATCATCTTTCATATCCCTCATCTTGTCTTGTCTTAATTCTGCACTTGATAGATACTTGTTTCCCTTTCCTCATCTCTTGTCTTGTCTCAATTCTGCACTTGATGGTTTCCAAAGACTTCAAGTTCCATTTATTTTGCACCCACCCTTCCACTTTCCCTAGTCATACTTATTACACTTGTACCTTGCTTTCACCTGGCCCAATTAATTTTTGGTTGTGCAAAAGAGCAATGGCAATGCAATATACATATGTAACTCTTTTCCTTGCCCGGACTCATGAATGAACATTAAGAGAGTAAGAAACCCTCTGAAGTGTGTGCACATAGAGTGTTGTAGAGATCTTTCTCCACACTTATGAGTCACTCTGTCTCAACACATCCACTCTTTCTAATATTGACTTGGTATTCATAAATCCTGTATCTGACCTTCCTGGGGTTTTATTTCCAGGCTCTCATAGATTCCACTGCCACACACTGGTTTATAGATAAAGTATTTCTTGAGATATATCATTTGAAAACTTGATCAGTATCTCCAATTTATTATTCAGATATTACCATTCCCCTCACTTGTCTTACTTGTAAGGACATCCCTTGGATTTTCAATGATAAATGACATCTAGCTTTCAAGACTTTGAAAGACAGACTTTTAGCCCTCCCCCCAGTCCTTTCCCATCAGAAACATGATGTTCTGCTACTGATGTTTCTAATTATCCAATCATGTTAAGTGCCATGTCAGGGACTTATTCCAGAACTATCAGGAAATAACTGGGAACTCAGATACTTCCAGGCAGGGTCAGGATTTGGCTTCAGCTTATGTCCTGTGCCCCTACACAAATGCTCAGATATCCTTAATTTCAGAGGACTGTGTTACGACCGTGTCGCAACCCTATCGGTCCTGAGGTTATCGCCACTTATCAACATTTTCAAGTCACCATTTCGGAAACCATCGGCCCCGAAGCTGACGTATGTTTTCGTGAAGATCAAACTCTGTTTACGCCCATGTCAAAATAACTCGTATTGTCTGGTCAAACTTTTGATACGTCCCTTTTATTATGTTGATCCGTTCAATCTTATGTTTCACATATGTCTATCTATATTTGTAGTCCTTGAACTATTTCCTTTTATCATAATCCCGCTCTCGGTTATCATCGGCCTCCGAACTAATCATAAACTTCCCGTTCCTAGTCAAGTTTATTGTTAATGCCGTTTTCTGCCCTTCTCCCCATTAGTATTTTCTAGACGCCTGTTACTTGTATATGAACCCGCTGTAGTTGTAGTTACTAGGCAATCAGAATATCGACTCAGAATACCCTCATACGTCCATAACAGTCCCATACTAAGAACCCCCCCATCCACCTTCGCGTGCGCTCGCCCACTTCCGGCCCCGACCCCTTGGCCCAACGCTCAACTGGTCCTTCGGTTCCGATCAGTATCTCACTGAAAGGAGCTCTTTGGGATTAGTCTTCACCTGCCCAAAATCTAAGGACACCCTACGGATATTTGCGAGGGCACAGCACATAAGCTGAAGCCAAGTCCTTTCGATCGGTCCCTGTCGGCCACCGACATTAGTCAGTTTTCAGTTCTTAACACATGGATGGAAGTCGGGTTGGAAAGTTATGGAAAGTTATGGAGAATTGAAGTATCCAGGAATGGGTTGTAACAGAAGATTGGGCCACAGATTAAAGTATCTAGAATAAACACCAGGAGTCTGACTGGAAGTTCAGGCCAGAAAATGACTAAAGACATGTGGAGAACTCAAATGTCGAAGGGCAGAGTCTGATGGGTTCTGAGTCATAACAGGAGGTGTCTAGTTGAGGGCAGAATACCAGAAGGGGATTTGGATTGAAGGGTACTTGAGAGATGAAGGTCAGGTTCTGGTGGATTCCAGATCTTGATACTGGTCCAGAAGATGATTTCCAGGAAATACTCCAAGGAGTCTCTGGGAATGGAACTTCACACATCCCCAACCCTGTCACTCCTCAAACAGTCAGGAATGCACACAAGAAAATGGTTTTTACTTTGCAACAAACAAGAAAGTCCCTATGTTGAAGAAGACTCATTGTCAGAAGTGACTTGAGTTTGCTTAGTACCATGAAAGCTGGACTGTGGAATCATTCAAAAGGGTCCAGCATCGACTATTACGGACTAGACAGTGAAGAGCTGAGTGGTTGGGTAGAGGAAGAGCGTTAGCTCTCCGTGTGTGCGTGGGAAGACTTGCCGCTCGGGAGGGCGGGTAATCATTATGCATTAACAGCTCTCGTTACTGTATAATCCGCTAACTACGGTAAATATATCACATCGAAATATTGATACTTGATTACTGCCGCTGTTTAAAGAAAGGGCTAGGGTGGGTGGGTAAATTAATTGTGTAGATATGTAGAGATAAGGATCAGAAGTCAGTGATGAGAAAACAGAAAGGACTGAGGATCGACAGCGACGTCGTACAAGAACACAAGGCGTGCGAGTCCTACATATGCTCAGCTGGACGTTGAGTGCCGAACTACTCCCGGCACGCCAGGGATCGTGCGGCACTCGACACTATCCAGCATCGACTATTACGGACTAGACAGTGAAGAGCTGAGTGGTTGGGTAGAGGAAGAGCGTTAGCTCTCCACGTGTGCATGGGAAGACTCGCCGCTCACCCACAAAAGGCCTGCCTACTACCGCAGCGAGACTACGCCACTCACCCAACCTAGGCAGCCGCATTTCTGGCGGACAGGTTCGATATGTGCCGTGATGCAATTTGCTCGAAGGCCCTTATGTATGTTTCGTATGCTAAGGATTTCCATCTGCCCGCTAGTCGTACTATCTCGGGATCAACTCCTTGCGCTAAGAAGAAGGAGGCACCACCAATGCGGAAAGAGTGGCCAAAGGTTGTTCCCCATCCACAAGCCTGGAGGACTGAATTAATCCGGTGGGGTGCTGCCTTTTTAACTATTGGTCTGATCTCTCCCTTGTTGTCTCGCCAGCAAAATAAAGGATTGTCCGGCTTTTCTGGGACACCCTTGGCTAAATTGATCAAGGCATCAATTGGGCAGACTCCCTGTTGGTCCGTTATAAATACTGCCTGAATCTCTCCGACTTTGGCTGTCTTCGCAGATGGCAGGTCTAAATGTGCGTAGCGTTTTCCATCGTTGTCACGACTAATTAGAACATCCTTTCATTTTAGGTGTTTGGTGGTGTCAAAGTGCGGTCTGGATGTCACGGTAACCTCGCCAAAATGCATTAGTCCCCAGAAGGCGCATGGAGCCACTGCCCAAATGCATGCGTCAAATGCATCGCTCAGGTCCAGGATTGACTTCAGTGCAAATAACATCCTCAATTGTACTGGGGGTTGTGGGGGTCATTTTCGTGCCGTGCCTTGTAAGTTCTCCAATCCTCGTAGTGACCATTCAATTTTTGTGCGTTCCTCGTCAGACAGCGGTGGTGGCCAGCCTTGTGCTATATGCCATGCCCTGATTGATGAAAGGTATTTCCTTGTCATGCTGACGGAGATTGTCTTGAATCTGGTTCCAGCAGCCAGGCCATCTCTGAGAAATGATGGGTCTGCAGCTGCCCAGAGAGCAAAGGAATGGATCACTGGGAAGGACGCCGGTAGTCTGTCCACTTCTGCAATCGAGAAGATGTCGCAGAAGATGTGAAATTTTCGTAGGCCAGTGCCGTAGGCTTTGGGTTCCTTTAAAGAGGCCTCTGATGTGATCGTTGCGATCAATTGGAGGACCGGGTACTGTATAGTAGCCGGCGGGGGGGGGGGTGTTGACGCCTCTCCACTTGAACAGCCTCTCTGCTGCTTTGCATGGAGGTCTCAGTGGGGATGGGGCTAGGTGCCCGTGATTAGATGATGATATATTTGATGCTCGGGTAAATGGTGCTGGTAGCAATGCTGGTGCTATGATGATTGGATCTGATGATGCAAATGGATGGGAATATCCATCTCGGCATGGGTGTTTGCCCTTGGGAAACCCCTGAGAAATTCAGCGATGTGTCCTCATGAGAGGGCGTCTGACACGTTGTCTCTTGAGGGTATGTAAATGGCTTTCAAATGTATTCGGTGGGTGGCTAGTAGGCGATAAATCTCTTTTAGGACCTTGTTTGTCTCCTTGCTGCGGGAATGACCCTTGTTTATAATGGCGACTACCCCACTGTTGTCGGAGCGCACCAGGAACATTGAATGAGAAGGGAGATGATGGCGCAGCAAGCCATTCTGCAGTGCCAATCTCAGGCCCAGCTCTACTGCTACTGCTTCTGCCCACCCAATATCGCATTCGCAGCGAGGGCCGACTTTGAAACTGGGAGCCCATTTCCAGGCGGCCCAATGGCAGTCGACGATGACACCTATCCCATAGGATAAGCTGGCATCTCCCCACCAGCCGATGTCTACTACATCGGGCGATGGAATTGGGAGTTCGTTTGGCAGATGCCGGAGTATGTACTGGATCCAGGAGAGATCCGCTTGCACTGATGGGGTTGGCAGTAGGTGTGCTCTGCGAGAATGAAAACTGCTTGCAAATGCTGCGATGGACCGGAGAAAGGGCCTGATCCATGGGAAGATGGCTGACAAGTGCACCAACTTCCCATGTAGCTTCTCCACCTCAT